TTTTTTGGAGACAGGATTTCTCAGTGTAACAGTCCTGGCTGTCCTGGAACTTGCTTTGTAGACCAGGCTGACCTCAAACTCTCTGAGATCTGCCTGCCTCTGCCCCCCAAGTGCTGGGATTAAAGGTGTGTACCATCACCGCCTGGCTCTATTTCTCTAATTGTTTCATATGTTTATACGGGCTGAGTAGGACATATATACAGAGCCTACTCAGCCATCATGCAATAACTCTGAGGTTTTAAGTCACACCCATTAGGCACTTAAAGGTGCACACACAACCATAACCTTTGGTGTCACTTCTCCATAGGGCTCCATAGTAGATGTTTTTGACGACTTTGTGGGCCTATGGTTCCTGTTGCAGTCAGTTAGCTGCCCTTGTGTAGAAGTGGCCATTGGTGGCAATGCAAAACAAACAAACAAAAAACTTGAAATTCCAATTTGAATTGTACATAATACTTCTCAGATTGTATACTCTGTGTACTGACCCACCTACAAATTCTACTTTATTTCCTTCTGAAAACTTACGAAAATAATGTCTTAAAGGGATTTCTCTGAATGCTGAGGGATAGCATGAATGACCAGGTCTGTTTTGAAATTCGTGAAAACACATTGCCTGTTGAGAAGGTCCCATGGAAACGATCTTAGTTTTAGGCAGCTTCCTCTTTTAAAATTTGAGTTTATTTAGTAGTGTGTATGCATGTGTGTGTGTGTGTGTGTGTACATGTGTGTCTGTGTGAGTGTGCATGTGTGTGTCTGTGTGACTCTATGTGAGTTTGTGTATGTGTACATGTGTGTGCGAGTGTGTACATGTGTTTGTACGTAAAACACAGCTTTTAGGAATCAGTTTTCCCCTTCCACTGTGACATCAGGGATGAAAATCAGGTTATCAGGCCTGTATGGGGAGTTTTTTGCCTACCATGCCTTTTTATCAGCCAGTAGACTTTAAAAGTCTCTTTATGAGAAATAAAGTTGAGTAGCTTGAAAATAAGGGTTCCTTGATGTTTTCTTTAGAGAGTTATAGCTCTGGTTATAAACTTTTGGTTATATTTAATAATTCAGAGGGATAATAATTCCAGCTATCCTAGGCTTTCCAACACTGTTTTATACAAATTTGAAATAACTTTCAAAAAGTTCAGATTTACAATAGGGACTATGCCCCTGGTCTGCAGTTGCTTTTGTGCTGTTCTGATAACAAATTTTCTTAGCCTCCTTCATGGACAAGCCTTGAGTTGGTGCTCAGTCGTGGTTATTGGTTGAATAAATGTTTGCTTCTCTCATAAGCTGTGTGGAAGACTCTTAATTTTCAAGAAAGTCCCTGGACCTCGTGACCATGCATGTGAGC